TCCACAAAATTCACGACCTCAGTTTAGTGTCACTCTGTCTCCATTTTAATTTGAAAAAACACTTTTACATCAGAGAGGTAACAGGAAGCATCGCTCCTTTCGGAAACCTTCAAGCATACGCTCCAATGACTTATAAAAATGAGAGAAACCCTATTGGCTAATCCAGTTCTATGATTGTGTTGGTAAGGGTCCTCTCCTATTAGGTCTTGGGTGCATATGTATGGCATTGTGCGTTACTGGGAAGAGTGTGCGTGCGTCCATTTGGAGTACGCCGTGAGCCTACCCTGCCACTAACCCAGCTCTGTGGATCCTAATAAAGCTGAACTCCGGGCACAAACACTCTGATATATGGGGGTTTCCCCTCCGTGTCTCTATGGGTTGAACTCCGTGGACTTGTCTTTTCTCAACCTGACTAACTATGTAACTATGTTCTCTATTGCTATAAACCCACTTTGTGTCCACCGAAGGCAGTTATTACATTGTAAGGGTAGCAGTGACATCATCACTGTGCTGTATATAGCCTGTGCAGAGAGCGGGGCTGTGGGAGGGGCCCAGCAGACTCCACTCACTACAAGCTGCATGCAGAAAACTACCGGAAGGGGCAGAGACAAGACCAATCACCCTGCAGAAGGAGAGAGAGCAGCAGTGACCGGTCTTTATTACAGGAGGGGGCGGAGACAAGACCAATCACCTTGCAGAAGGAGAGAGAGCAGCAGTGACCGGTCTTTATTACAGGAGGGGGCGGAGACAAGACCAATCACCCTGCAGAAGAAGAGAGAGCAGCAGTGACCGGTCTTTATTACAGGAGGGGGAGGAGACAAGACCAGTCACCCTGCAGAAGAGAGAGCAGCAGTGACTGGTCCTTATTACAGGAGGAGGCGGAGACAAGACCAGTCACTCTGCACAAGGGGAGAGAGCAGCAGTGACCGGTCTTTATTATAAGATGCTCCTGCACAGAGGCAATGTGTGGGAAAGGTTTGATGCTGGAGTACTGCACATATCCGGAAGAAATACACAAGTGATGCCAAGATTTAGGACTATACACGCCTCTTGTATGTAGACATTATTTGTTTGGCCCAGGTTTCAGCTGTAAAGCCAACTGCATACACATTTTATAACATGATCTGCTAGCAGACATGAGTTGTGTATGGGAGGACAGGAGACCCTACTCACTATACAACGAATGGTTAGCTGCGGAACGCTCTGCTACTTGAGGTAGTAATGACTATTCATAGACTTTGAAGGGGACAGTATGGCTTCCTTGCCACTAATGGCAGCTACACTTTAAAGGGCGGTTTGGATAGATTTCGACCTCCGAGCTACATAAGAAACGTTTTGGCACACCCAAAATGTGTGATTTATGCTTTGCATGGGATTGTGGGAAGACACAGATTGCACTAGTTTGTAACACTATATTGCTTTTTATAAAGAATATCTGGGTTAGGGGGCGGGGCTTTGATTGACTGCTGGAGTTCCGCTTTAAACCCGGTATTTAGTACAGTTGCGATGGGACATCTTTTCTGGTCCAGCTCATCTCCTTTAATCAGAGTCCCACAAAACCAGCCAAGAGATGGGATTATCCGTCCTCATTAATCCACTTCAATCGCAGCATGAAGATCCTTCACTATCATAGGAGACTCCTCAATATGTACAGGAAACGCACACTGGGTAATCCTGTTCTCTTCTACTGCAAGCAAAACGCAGTTCATGGAGCTCGATGAACTCGACCCCTTTTACCGAGGGCCCGGTGCGATACAAAGAGATCCGCCTCCTAGACAAATCGAAGAGAATAGTTGCCGTGTCCGAGTCTGGGGACTCCAAGATTCACTAAAGCTGCCAAAATGGCCAACACAGTGAAGTGCCACCTTGTGGCTCGACAAGTGACCAAATAACAGATCTCAGGTGAAGGGGCTTCAGAGTTTAGGCTAATTTGATGGCCCTGCATGGACATCACTCCCAAAACCCCTTTGGTCAGTCTAAACCAGCCATTCTCAACACGGATTCTGTGGAGGTTGCTGGGATTCCATGAGCAATTTCAGCCTTGTAGATTACTCACCCTGGATCCCTGCAAGGTTTTCAGTTACATGTAAAGGGGGATATTCTTCCCGCTGACCGCCAAGGTAAGGGGACTCCGCCCGCTGACCGCCAAGGTAAGGGGACTCCGCCCGCTGACCGCCAAGGTAAGGGGACTCCGCCCGCTGACCGCCAAGGTAAGGGGATTCCGCCCGCTGACGCCAAGGTAAGGGGATTCCGCCCGCTGACGCCAAGGTAAGGGGATTCCGCCCGCTGACGCCAAGGTAAGGGGATTCCGCCCGCTGACGCCAAGGTAAGGGGATTCCGCCCGCTGACGCCAAGGTAAGGGGATTCCGCCCGCTGACGCCAAGGTAAGGGGATTCCGCCCGCTGACGCCAAGGTAAGGGGATTCCGCCCGCTGACGCCAAGGTAAGGGGATTCCGCCCGCTGACGCCAAGGTAAGGGGATTCCGCCCGCTGACGCCAAGGTAAGGGGATTCCGCCCGCTGACGCCAAGGTAAGGGGATTCCGCCCGCTGACGCCAAGGTAAGGGGATTCCGCCCGCTGACGCCAAGGTAAGGGGATTCCGCCCGCTGACGCCAAGGTAAGGGGATTCCGCCCGCTGACGCCAAGGTAAGGGGATTCCGCCCGCTGACGCCAAGGTAAGGGGATTCCGCCCGCTGACGCCAAGGTAAGGGGATTCCGCCCGCTGACGCCAAGGTAAGGGGATTCCGCCCGCTGACGCCAAGGTAAGGGGATTCCGCCCGCTGACGCCAAGGTAAGGGGATTCCGCCCGCTGACGCCAAGGTAAGGGGATTCCGCCCGCTGACGCCAAGGTAAGGGGATTCCGCCCGCTGACGCCAAGGTAAGGGGATTCCGCCCGCTGACGCCAAGGTAAGGGGATTCCGCCCGCTGACGCCAAGGTAAGGGGATTCCGCCCGCTGACGCCAAGGTAAGGGGATTCCGCCCGCTGACGCCAAGGTAAGGGGATTCCGCCCGCTGACGCCAAGGTAAGGGGATTCCGCCCGCTGACGCCAAGGTAAGGGGATTCCGCCCGCTGACGCCAAGGTAAGGGGATTCCGCCCGCTGACGCCAAGGTAAGGGGATTCCGCCCGCTGACGCCAAGGTAAGGGGATTCCGCCCGCTGACGCCAAGGTAAGGGGATTCCGCCCGCTGACGCCAAGGTAAGGGGATTCCGCCCGCTGACCGCCAAGGTAAGGGGATTCCGCCCGCTGATCGCCAAGGTAGTCCCTTACCCACTGGTCCAAGAACGCCCTTCTCCACTAACTACCAATGTAAGGGGGCACTTTTCCATGGCCAACCAATGCAAGGAAACTATTTCTTTAGTCTGCATTTGTTTTCTGGTCATTATCTGTTTTGTTTCAATATTATTAAATGTTTTTGTCGTGAACAGGAGCTCCAGGATTTTAATTATACCACATTTATCGTTCATGCCAATGCCAATGCACCCAGAGCTGTTCCCCAACACCTGGAAGTTATTCCAGGGGTTCCTCCATGTTTAAAAAAAAAAAGGTTGAGAACAGCCGATTACAACGCTAACCTCGGACCCCAGAGCTCGGGTCATTTTATGACATACAGTCATGTATTTGGTCACACGCCTGTCCAATGTATTTCTCCCAAGCAGCAGCTTCTCCAACAACAACTTTCTTCCTCCTGCAACCGTTTGGAATTTTAGGGAGCCGAGAAGTTTATTTTGAACAGATATACTTTTTATGCAGGTGGTTGAATCATCAAGTAGTCTTGGGGCCTAGCACAACCAAATTCTCAGGGTTAATCTTCCAAATGCAGCATGGGAAATTAAAAAGGAAGACTCTTATTGGCTGTGATGGGTAACAAGAAAAGATGTGTTCACTAGAAAAAGAACGATCCTAAAATGGTAGGGATGCACTTATACCGCTTTTTTAGTATCATGTACCGATCTCATGCTATCGGTACTCGCCAATGCTTCCGCTGGCATGGAGACGGCCTCGCAGGCACTCGGGATGCCGGGCAATGACATGCCACCCAGCTGCCTGATAGCCCGGGAAGCGGGCTCCATGTTGTCTTGCTAGCTGGCCAGACAACATGGAGCCGGCTTCCCGGGCCATCAGGAAGCCAAGTGGTATGTCATTACCCGCAGTCAGGCTTCATAAATGCCAGCTCCATGTTGTCTGGCCAAAAAACCGGCTTCCCAGCCAATCAGGAAGCTGGGCAGCGGGGTAATGACCCACATCCCGGCTTCCTAATTGGCTGGAAAGCCAGCTTCCCAGGCCAATCAGAAAGGAGCCGGCTGTTCGGGGCATTACTTGCCACCCGGTCTCCCTGTTGTCTGGCCAGGAAACCGGCTTACCAGCCAATCAGGAAGCTGGGCGGCGAGTAATGACCCACATCCCAGCTTCCTGAATGGCCAGGGAAGCTGGCTATCCAGCCAATCAGCAAGGAGCCGGCTGTTCGGGGCATTACTTGCCACCCGTGCTTCCTGATTGCCTGGGAAGCCGGCTCCATGTTCCCCTACGGTGCTGCCGTTCAGAGGAAGTCTTCCTCTGACCGGAAGTTCGGGTATCTGAGCATTTGGGCGAGTACGAGCACTTGCGCAAATACTTGGCACCAGCAGTGATACTAGTATCGGTATCCGCGCATTACTATTAAATGGTAACAGTGACAACTGTTGGGGTAACGACATCACAGCTAGTGAGAAGAGAAGGAACCGCAATATCGCGCTTTCTTTTTGAGCCTTTTATCTAACAAAAACATTGTACATCAACTTCAACACAAATTCCGATTTTCCGGCGGCCTTTTCTCAGCTCCATCTATAAATACGCACCTCCTCTAAGGTCTCCGGACACTTCCATTTTTGCCATTGACGAAAGCGGATTTTTCTTTCTTGTTTTTTTTTTACATAAAAAAGGGTCCTGACGTTTCCAGGCTCGTTCTCAGTATATAAATAAAACTTATCATTCATCTTTTTATCATTGAAAGCAAAAAGAAAAACCTAAAAAGAAAATAAAGCACCTTTTGTACTAATCAGATACTTGTGTCCGGCTGTAACTGGCTATCATCAGCTGAATTAAAAAAGTCCCAGCTATTTTAACCTTAAAGGGGAGCCCCCCCCACACAAAGCTGGGGACAGGGAAAGTGAGACACAGAAGATGACCGGTGCGGATTTGGTAGGGTCAGTGTCCTGAATGATGGCCGTTAGCTACTGGTTAGCGGCTTCACATGCGTCGATCCAGTCGCTGTAGACGTCCACTGCTTCTGAAAGGTCTGGGATTAGGAGTTAAGAAGAAATTATTGGACAGAACGAATGCACAACATTCTGAGATCTGAATCCAGAAATTAAACATTACACCTTCATTTGCAGGGAAACTTTAACCACTTGCTGACCGCGGTGTTACACCCCTTCCGGGCCCGGCTATTTTTCAGTATTCAGCGCTGCGGTACTTTGACGTTTATTCCGTCATGCAACGCTGTACTGATATGAATTTTATACCATTTTTGGGGACAGATAGAGCTTTCTTTTGGTGGTATTTATTCACTTGGGGGGGGGTTCCTTTTATTATTTTAGAAAACAATTATTACCCAGTTTTTTTGTAAAATATAAAAGTCTGGGTCACATCGGGTAAATAGACACCAAACATGTCAAGCTTAAAATTGCGCGCACCCGCGAAATCGCAAAAATACACAAGACAACATTGGCCATAGGCGACGCTTTAAAATTTTTTACTGCTCATCAGTTTGGCGTTATCAGTAATTGATGGCCGGAGAATTATTTCTCTCATTCTGACGTTCGCGGTGATATGCAACACGTGCAGCAATCGCCGTTCTTCCGTGTAGGCGCATGCAACGCATTTTTGCGCATCTATGTGGGGGACTTTTAAAATTTTTTTTGTTTTTTTTGTTTGTTTTGTGTGTAAATTTGTATTTATTTTGTGAGCATTTTTTTTTACACTTAACTTTATTATCATCACATAGGGTGCTCCTATGTGATACCAAATTAGTTACAGGTCCCCTTTATGGAGACATCAGGGGTCTCTAAGACCCCTGTCACCTAGGGACCCCCCAGAGAAGCTGATGAATAAAAAAAACACCATAGGAATGCATAGCTAGATTCCTATTGGCTATTTCACTTTGCAATAGCTTATAGCAAACTGCCGATTGGCAGCAGCAGCAGAGGGCGGGTGCAATAGCTAGTTTGCTATTGCAAAGTGAAATAGCAAATAGGAATCTAGCTATGCATTCCTATGGGGGGTTTTGTTTTTTTTCTTGCTTACGGCGGCCCCCGATGTCAGAAAAACAAAAAACTATTGCAGGTGGAAGGTTTAGCGGGAGACCCCTGGCAAATCGTCATTCGACCCCAGATGGGGTCGCGACCCACAGGTTGAGAACCGATGACCTGACCTAACCCAACCCCTGCCTCCACAGATGTATACTTTCCTTGATCCGATGGCCACGGTTCTGCTGTTTGCTTACATTCAGCGGTGTACATCTTCACCGTCTTGGCTGCAACCGACATATTAGTGCCCCATAGACTTTTATAGGGCTGTGTCGGGAGGCTGGAGAAGGCACCATAGAAATCTATGGGGCTGTATTGTGCAGACATGGCAGAGAGATTGAGACTTGCAGCACTGAATGTAAACAAAAAGAGCAAAACTAGCTGTCAAATAGAGGCGAGTATGCATCTGCAATGGGGGGGTCTCTGGGTCAGGGTGGGGTAAGAAGACAAAAGGAATGGGTACACTTTTTTTTTTTAATACAGCTGCACTACTGTAACTGAAGAGCCCTTACCTACCAAATGGGACATTCTCGGGTTTGGATAGAGTAGAGAAGCGTGATCAACCCTGTTAGGTGTTTTCTGCCAATCCCCTACTGGGGAGAGTCACCCCCATTTGTCATGTGAGCATTGTCCCTGGGACTGAAAGTGACAAGAAGTCCAAAATGTGAATTACGAGTTGTCACTGGAACAGAGGGGAAATCTTGCGACGCAGTCAGTTATGGTGACAACTAATAGATTTTCCAGACTTTTCTTTGGACATCCGGAACGGTCTATGGCAGGGCCTGCAGCTGTGGTGCAACTACAAATCCCATTAGCCATTGCAAGACTGACAGCCACAGGCATGACTCCCAGAGGCTGAGGGATCATGGGATTTGTACCTTCACCACAGCTGGAGGGCCGGAGTTTGCCTACCCCTGGTGTATGGGAAAAGAGACGGAGGGAAATCCCCTTATCGGGACAGTTTTAAGCCTTCCCTACTCTGAAATCCTTGTTCTAATATTGATCGAGGTTTTATAATTCAAAATAACAAATACCTGTGTGTGACCTCTTCTCCCCCTCAGCAGATGCCACCAGGGCTAAATACAGATGCCACCAGGCTGCGTGCCGATCTCATCCTGGCGACTTGTGGATCTCTGCGGGCAGTGTCTATGCTGATCGGGTGGGTGCCGGCCCGAAATGCTGTGTGGAGAGTTAAACCAGCTCCGTGGCTGTGCCTGCGCCGGGAAGGAGGAGATATAGAACCAGACAGGCACTGCCAAGGACATTTACTGCCAGGTCCCCAGCAGGCTGCCTGAGGTTTCCACAAGCGCGGGAACTCAGACAGCCGCTGCGTTTTAACAAATTTAAAGGGCTGGTATTGACCTCAAGAATTAGAGCATTTCCACGAGTACAAGTACTTGTGAAAATTCCCAGTATCGGCCCCGATACCAATACTAGTATCAGCACATCCCGAATATCAGTCATAATGATGCAATGATGGGATGGTCACAGACAGTACGGCTTCCTCTGACCCCCCTAATGATCTGGAAGCAGGGCAAGCACTTCTAAGATACTCTGGGTGTCTGGCTTCGCAGATAATGTAATGTGTGTAATAGTGGCCTCCCAGCTTCACAAACTAGATTTACAGGGTTATGCACAAAAAGGGAGAAGAGTTTGGAGAAGGCCGGAGAAGTGAACAATTTGGAAAAATTCTCCAAGTCAGCTAACTTTCCAGTTCAGCTATGTTGTCCTAGATTGTTCCCTTCTCCGGCCTCCTCCAAACTCTTCACCCTTTTGTCAATAACCGTTAAGAGATTTAACGAGCTCTGCCATTAGAACTAGAGAAAACCATTTGTTAGGGAGAAGCCAAAGACGCCCCGGTCATGACATTCTCATAAACTCCAGTCTGTTAGGAGGAAAATGGTGAACACAAAGTAACAGCAGCTCAGACACTAGTCCAGGAGAGCAAACAAGACCGAGGAAAGTAAAGTGACGTATGTAAAGGATACAGGTTATCGGGGTCTGAAATTCCTCCAGGCACACTGTACACGATATGACCCCCGTGTTCCGGGCTCTGTCCCTGCAATCAAACATAAAAACATCAAGTCAATGAAATGCAGACATGAACTTATCACATCCGGGGTACACAGGTCCTTCCTAAGAACAATACATATTTCTAAGCAGGAACTAGTAAGGTTTTATAGATTTTCTTTATTATATTTGGTAGTCATTTTTGTACATTTTGTTTTTCTTTCTGGGAGTCAGTGCAGTGACTTCATCCGATAGGTTGCACAGTTTTCACCCAGCTCATCCTATTTTAAAACGGACTTTTGTCAAGCCAGATGTTGCTGACAGGGCCACCCCCGGCTCTGATTTCTTGCCAAATGGGTCAGCTGAGATCTGATTCAGCTCCCCTTCCCACATACAGCTCTGCAGCAACAGGTCCCTTCTAATGTCTGTAATCAGCCCGCACTAGATGACTATAGCTGCCACTGCGGGGGGCTGGGCAGAGCTACATCAATGATGCCCTAGCCTCCAGACTGTCAGTAAGTACCGTGACGTCACACATCATTGGGGGACATTTATCAAAGTGTCACAAATCAGGCAGACTTCAGCAAAGCCTCGTTTACAGTCCTGTGCTGCCCTATTCCGTATCCCTGGGGCAGCCAAGTGCGACAGTTTGCAGAATTCTGAGACGCGTTTATTACTGAAGATTAAAGATTTTCACTCCAAAACAGAAGAAAAATGAAGACGTGAACTGGATCAGGTTTTACTCTGTGGCAGTGCTGCAGAAAAAGGAATTTATGACAGACTGTAACCTGGTAATAAAATCGGTGTCACTGCTCCTGTTTAGCGCTGTGACAAAATTGATACATCTCCTCTTCTGTGTCTACAGTGCTCTGCCACAAGCCAGCCTATGAAGTGCTGTGTGGCAATATGGAAAGCCTGTGACCTGGTCCATTCAGCTCTTGGCTTTAGTGCTGGATCCCGGCTGTCATTGACAGCCGCTGCATACTAAACCTGGCTGGGACCTGCAGGAGCCGCTGAGTTCAGATGCAGTTTTAGATTTATTGTTTTATTACATCTCCTGTGTTGGGAAGATCCCATTCACGGAGCTCAAGCTGAAATCTACACACAAGTAAACAAGTCGGAGAAGTGAATTATCCCATTTATCAGATGGCTCTGACCGAGGTCTGAGGATCTGACAAAGCATGCTGTAAATTGCCTGACACACAGCAAGTCAAACCCACACCAGTATACAAGCTCAAAAAATAATGATATATGTAATTTATAAATAGCCCATAAAATCCGATGGTGACGGCGCTTCAAACTATTTACTTAAAGCAAAGAATATACATCTCAAAGCTGCAACAGCTTAGGGCTAATGTACCCCCTTCCTGAGGCAGAGACGCAAATGATGGATGGACTACAAGCTCAACACAAGTTAGCAAACTAAACATGAGATTGTAGTCCATCATGGATTCAGGCAGTATTGTCGGGATCCGTCCCGGCTGTGGCGCTCTGAGAATATCGCAGGCAATAGCCCGCTATATACTGAGCTTTGGATCGCAAGAGGAGGCGAGTATATATCTTACTGTAACCCTAAAGAGAACAGTTGGGGAAAGAAAAAAAAAAAAAAGTGACCCCATAGTTCTTTAATTCCCAAGTTTAGTGTCACTTTAAACAATCTAAACACAAAGTCATCTTACATATTGACATCACAGGACTTTTCGTGGTTACAGAATGGACACGTGAACTGCGTCTCCAGGACCCCGGTCTTCTTCTTGGGTGGAGGCTTTCTCTTTGACTTTCTACGTCCCATGTTTTCCTTAAAAATAAACAAACATGTCAGATGCATCTGGTTTGGGCGCCACCCCTTTTGATGCATACCCCAGTCTAAATGTCACATGATTAAATGAGCAAGTGACGCGTACATGGCTCGATTCTCTCCCATTCACCCCCTGCGTTCAACAAGAGAAAAATAGTTTTCACTCTCCACATTAAACAGCCAGGAAGGGGGACTCCCCACTGAGGGCTTGTTCCCCACTCAGGGCTATATAATTTATTTTTTAGCCTAAAATGAGCTTTCACTGCGTTCCAGGGTGTTCACATGTATTTTGATGCGTTCCAGAGCAGGTAAAATACGGCTTGCTGCAGTTTTTTTTACATGCTCTGGAACTGAACGCTGCGGTGTGAACTAGAGCCCAAAATGCCATAGGAATGCATTGGACGCAGTTTTGATCCGGTCTGTAACTGCTCTGCTCCGGGAACGCGCTTGGTGTGAACTAGCCCTCAATGCTTTTGTATTCAGCCGCCGCTGCACCCACAGAGGCCGGAATACCAGAACAGCGGCTGTATCTGATAGGTTGCAGCATTTTTACCCAGCTCGTTTGATTTAAAAAAGCCCGCTTAGCCCTCGTTCACACCTGAACGTTTTGTAGCGCGTAAAACGCTCAAAAATATAAATCCCATTGTATTCAATGGTCTCGTTCCCACCTTGGCGAATTTCCGCCCGTCCCTAACGCGCTACAAAACGGCCCACGCCTGAAAAGGTACAGGTACTACTTTGGGCCGTTTTGTTGCGTGTTTCCATTGGGATACAGCCAAGTAGCCTTCGGAAACGCGCGTTTGTCGCGCTACTTTTTTTACCGCGAACCGCGGTAAAAAAAAGCGCGATAGACGCGCATATGCAATACGCCTAGGTGTGAACGAGACCTTAAAACGGACCTTTACCCCCTTCACTAAAATCACATCACAGTGCAGCTCTGCATCATCACACATTCATTAGCTAAACATATTTTTCTTTCACTTATAATTATTGTTTCCCCACTTCCTGGTCCTCTTGGGTATTAGTGATGTAATCGTGCCCAAGCATTGCATTCTGGGAAAATTACATCAGCAGAGCATTGCTGGGAAATCTCATCTGTAATCTCACGAGATCTCAGGGAAAGGCATTTCCCTCCCCTGAGATGATGTACATGGTCACATGTCCTAGTCACATGTGCCAGAGTTCCAGGAAGTAAAGGGAGAGCTAGTAACCGGCACTTAGTAAAAAATGGCCGCTACGAGAAGACTGTGGAAGTAAATAATACAAAGTCGGCAATTCTCTAGAAGTATGTGTGTGTAGATTGTCATTACTAAACATTTCTGGTGTGTTTATTGTTCTTTCAGAGAAATGGGTAAAGTTTCTCTTGTATGACTGAGGCAATGGTCTAAGATCCTGAAGTCATCACATTCTATACACAGTGTACAGATGTGATGCCGCCGAGGGATAATCCAGTGCTGCAGTGTAGGAGGCGACAGTCTTCAGAGACTGTAGAAGCAGGAATGACATCACGATCTCATGTTGTCCAATCAGAGAACGCCTTGTACTCTGAGAGAAAAGACAAAGGTGTTCTCAGAAGGGCGTTGGTGCCAAGTGAGCGACTGATTGTGCTCAGTGTGCAGCACTGGAGCCGTACCCGGAAAAAGGAGGCTATCACTGTATGTATCGCAGATTACTACAAGGATGTGCAGCATCCTTCGGGGGCCCCCCGGAGATCAGATGCTTACATTGAGCCACGTTAGAGCAATGTAAGCTTCCAAAAAAAGGAAGATTGTTCCTGGAGTTTCCACTTTGAGGTCAATACGTAGGCCGCCATTTCCGTTCATCCAAAAATGCAGCAGCCTGGCGGAGTCCATCTCTGGTGCTTATTGAGTCACCAACCAGTAACAATCATGCAACCAGTGAAGTCACAACGTCGTGATATGCATGGTCATCCCAGGCCTGAAGCCATTGGATCAGCATGACCGTCACACAGCTAGCTAGGAGGGAGGTCAGCAATGGAAGCCTATTTTGGGTCATGTTCCCTTTAAGAGAACATAAACATAAGGAATGCAGGCAGTCACAGACAGGAGTCTGCAAGATCCCTGCACCCTGGAGAGGAGGCAGCCGGTTGCTATGGACAACACAAACATCTTCCATACCTCCAATAGATGAGGCCCAGTGAGTATCCACACGCAGGCCGCCATGAGCCTCTCCAGCTGGGATAATAGTGATAGGGGAGAGGGTACCAGCACTAAGAGCCCCCAGCACGACCTGTAAGGCCACGTATGCCATTATTTACCTTCCTTTTCCCGCCGGACTAGATCTTCCTCGCCAAGCTGTTCGCCGCTTAGTGTGACCGGAAACACCCTTCTGCGTGTACTTCCTGTTTCCCCCAACCCCGCCTCTCCTGGTTCAGGGTTGGACAGACGGAGAGTATAGAGTCATTGGTTGTGAAGCGACGCCGCCAATCACGTAAACGTGGGCGTGGTAGGGTCTGGAGACATGGGATGTGGGGCGGGCGCTGATTGGCTAAGCCGGGTTGTCTGTAAAACTCCGGCGTTGCCGGTTGCTAGGGGAGGCCCGGAGCGCGAGGCCGGGAAGGGGAACACGTGTTTTATGTAGTGGTGCGACATAATGTCAGTGACTGACATGCGCTTATGACGGAACAAGAATCAAAATCTATATTTATTTTAGTTTTGGACATAAAAAAAGCTCTAAGAGTTTTTTTTAATCGCAGTTTGTGTACCCATTGGGGAGATTTCCCCTTGTTTCTTACCAGAAGAGGAAAATACCTTTAGAAGATTTCTCCTCACTTCCTGTCTGGACAGAATATACCCATTGGGAAGAACTCCCTTCCTGTCTGAAGAGGAATGTACCCATTGGGGGAGAACTCACTTCCTGTCTGAAGAGGAATGTACCCATTGGGGAGAACTCACTTCCTGTCTGAAGAGGAATGTACCCATTGGGGATAACTCACTTCCTGTCTGGACAAAATGTACCTATTGGGGAGAACTCTCTTTTTAAAACTCAACCTTTCAAAAACTGAGCTTCCAGCCCCTGTTCCCCCTCTGCCAATCCCCCACTGGCTTCCATCCCTCATCCCTCACCCCCCTCTGCCAATCCCTCCACTGGCTTCAATACCTCACTACACTGGCTTCCAATCTCCCAAAGGATAAAATTCTAAATATTAACAACCACTTACAGAGCTATCCGCAACTCTGCCCCCGGATATATCTCCAACCTGGTCTCAAAGCATCACCCCAACCGTCCCCTCCGCTCTTCCAATTACCTCCTGCTTCCCAGCTCCCTCGTCAACTCCTCCCATGCTCGTCTCCAGGACTTCACTAGAGTCTCTCCCTTCCTCTGGAACTCTTTACCCCAACCTGTCCATCTATCTCCCACCTTGACTGCCTTTAGGTGATCCCTTAAGACTCATCTCTTCAGGGAAGCCTATCCCACCTCAACCTAACCACTCAACCATCACGTTCTCAAACAATTCATCCCCACACAGCTACCTCCTCATGTATCACTTGCCCCTCCCTTTTAGATTGTAAGCCCTCAGGGTCCTATCACCATTCCTCTAAGGCAGTTATACTTACCAAGCTGTGCTCCCTGTCACCTACATGCACCACTTGGAGGCCTTGTGAACAGAGAGGGGTTCCCAGCAAAAGTAAATATGTGACCCCCCCCATGTGACAGTGCTCGGGCCTGAGAAGCCAATCACAAGGCCTAAACACTGTCACATGGGGGACCCATGAGGTAATCTCCCTGTCTAAGGTCTGACTCCAGCCAACTGGAACTCTGGAATTTAGGCTTGGATACTGCAGCAAGTGAGTTGGTGAGGAAGCGTGGCTCCGTAGGTATGGAAGAAGAGGGGGGGGCGATTGGTTTAGTTGGTGGATATCTACAGACACAGCCGCTCTGCTCTGATCAGATATAGTGACAGAGTCTCTAACGCACACAAATGTCTATGGCACCAACTTGGTTGTATTATCCTCACACAAAACTGAATTATCAGCATGATGCACAATTGTTAAACTCTGATGTTCCTAAAGGATAAGTGCGCTTTAACAAAGTGCACTTATCTTTTATGCCCCCCCCCCCCCCACCGAAACAATCCCTACGTCCCCTTCTGCAGATCCGTACGTACCGAGATCCCACGGGCACGGCTCCTCTATTGTTTAAACCCTTGGTTTCAACTGGTGGATCGTGACCCAAAAGTGTATTGCAACCCTGTGTTCAGGGGGTCATCGCGTGCCTTCCACTTTTCTAGGCGAGGGGCTTCTCAGCCTCCCCATAGCGCGGCACTGTCAGTTCTCACGCCAAGCAGCCATTCAGAATATGCTGCCCAGCGCCGAGTGTCAGCTTGAGGTGGGGTGGGCTGGAGGTCTGGCCGCAAGGGAGCTCCATCCATACATGCATTGCTTACAGCTCTCTCGCATGTCCTGTAGAGGTGCCTGGACCCGAGTGACATCACATTCTTACTCCCGACACCTCTACAGGGCACGCAAAGGAGTTGTACAAGCAATGCACATGTGGATGGAGCTCCGTCACAGCACAGCAGCCCACACTGGACCCCAGGCTGAGGATCCACTTCAGTTCTCGTAAGGTAGGGAGACTGGGTGGATCCTAAATAATAAATTTTTGAGTGAGTGTGTGAGAATGTCTGTGGTTGTCTGTCAGTGTTTTTGGGAGCCCGCTCACACTAGTACAGTGCCAATTGAACAGTCCATTGCCAATAACGCACTGTACCATGCAATCGCACCTACTATGCATTCTGGTCCGGGAGGTGCTTTGCGTTGCCATTCATTTGAATGGCACCCCAAACGCACCTCCCGCCCACAGTTCAATTGCCCGCACCGAATTGTGCGGTACCGCAAGGCCATGCGTTCCATTGCAGTGCGACTTGGGTCACGACTTTATGACCAAGGACAAATGTGGGTCCACAGGTTGAGAACCACTGGTTTAAACCCGGCACTGCAATGCTCCCTCTGCTGGCCACTCCTGCACATTACAGCCCCATAGACTTCTATGGGGGTATCTACCAGCCAGGAAAGTGCTGGAGCAGCGGTCCTCAAATCTCTAAGTACAGATCTGCGGAAGGCGAGGGTGACACATTTAGGTCAGGGGGAGAGGTGAGGCAAAAAAGAATAAGTGCGCTTTATCTAAAAGTGCTCTAGTCCTTTAAAGTCATTGATCATCAACCAATTCACCGGATCATTTACAGACACTTGACAGGCAACGTTATTATTCTAACAAAATGTCAGAGTTTATTACAGAAAACATAGAACGACATTCAAACGGAACCCGTCGGGGCTCTGCGAGTAAACAGAAACAAAAACACAAATTGTGCCATTTAACCCTTAAAATGTGTCCTGAAATTAAGATAACACTTGGAGAAAAAAAACTGGAACAATAAATCTGATAAAATGTTCTCTTCATATATGAAAGTTTCATTTATTTTATTTTTTTAAATAGGTCATCTGATCATTTAAAAATGTTCTCTTAAAATCTGATTGTTTCATTTGATTTCTCTAACAGGTATCTACAGCCTGAAGGCCACGGAGGACATTTATGGGTCAATGAACCCAAATCAGAAAACGTCGCCATCACACAAAGCGGTACCCAGCGACATGACTCGGGTATGGCGGTCTGGTGCCCGGGAAAGCCACGGGCTATTTGTTCTGTTGGGGCTCATTGTCCAAAATGGATGCAAGCACAGCATGGATTCTCTGCGCACTTTAAACGGAATGAGGATACAAATATGCGGGCGGCAACCTCAGCACTTCAGCTGTGGTGAAACGACAAGTCCCATATGGCACTTTAATAGGAAGAAGAGCGCTGACATCGCCTGCCCAAGTCCCATGAGGCATTGCAAGACTGACAGACTCAGCCAAGCAAGCAGACCATCAGTGGCTGCCTCCATACGTCTCATGACGGAAAGTATTGGGACGGAGGAGCCATTTCAGTTATTTGGAGGTCTTCTCTAGTCCTGAAAAGGCTTCACTCTACTTTTTACATGTTACATGAAAGGATTAGGAGGTTAGGTTAAGAGTAGGTTGGGCATTGCAGGTACAAGTGAGTAAACGTTGAGGGAGACTTGCCACCTGCTTTACCACCATGTTATCCTCCAGTAGCCAGTGCTGTTGTTCCTTCCGCATCACGGAACATTAGTGTAAGTGATATGTAATGTTCTAATAACCTAATGTCCATGGTAATATAGACACAAGGGGTCCTATCCTAACATAGGACAGGGCCTAGAATGACACTTTAACAGGAAGAAGATATAGAGGTGGGCAACCTCAGACCTCCAGCTGTTGGGTAACTACAAGTCCCATGGGGCATTGGAAGACTGATAGCCACAGAGATGACTCCCAAGGGCAGAAGCATGATGGGATTTGTAAATCCCAGGGTTGCCTACCCCTGATATAGCCATGGATTGATTACACGTAGGGGTCTATTTATAACCAAATCACAGAGCCCTTCGCCTTATGAATCTTTCTGAACATTTGTTCTGTGCAAGTAGACACAAAAACAAAAGTTCTTAGATGTAGTTTCTGTTCAGGTCAAATGTATGCAATACCAAACTACGGCCACTAGATGGAGATGAGGAGCTAAGAAAAACTTCCTATGCTCCTCAGCTCCATCTAGAGGTCAAAAGTATTACATTACATTCAACCTGGAAAATGATCGAAGAACTTTTTTTTTGCCTCTATTCGCACAGAACGAATGTTCAGAAAGACTTGTAGGATGGATGGCACTGAGAATTGAGTATAAAAAAGACCCCATAAAAGTGCAAGCCTATTTCTTTCCTCAGAACTGCGCCTAAACCACAGAGGGGGGTTCAACCTATGGGTCCCAAAGTCTCCACCTGCTCAGATTTTTTTCACTCCATTTAAAAATGCCCTGTTAAATTTAAAACTGTAAAACCGACACACAAACATCGACCGACACATACAATCTTAAGAACATGTGATCCGTTCATATTTTTGGCACACCCTTAAATTTGCTAAAACAGTCCGTGATCTCCTGGAGTGAAGACTGGAGCAATATCTCAAGGAATGGACTCCAAGTACCTCACTCTGCCGTGATACGGAGACGCCCAGAATCATGTGATCCAAGTAGAACTGTGTAAACGAGGATTCTCTTTGGCCGCTGGGATTACAGCACTCGAGGAAAGAGCTTGGTATGGAAAGAACTTTTGCCCCCAGACTGTATGTAGGTTATATTCATCTCTTTAGCCGTAAGGTTCACGTAGACGAAGCCGCCCATAATGTCTTCCTCGCCCTGGAAAAACCGCAAGTAGCCCTGGGGAACCTCGTCCTCGTGCTTACGGGAATTTTCCATGAAGTTTCCAGCCCCGCTCAGCACGTATCCAATACCGTGATCATCCTGCAGATACTAAAAAATAATAATATGGAGATGGTGAAAGAGTTTTGGTGATCTTCTATAAAAGACAACAATTCTTGGACCTCAAGTAGAGTAGGTAGCAGAACCAAATTCCCCTTAAATTGACTTGTCCATCTTGACAAGAAGATCCCGTGTTCCTGGTCATCTGACCTAATCCCGAAGCAGAGGCACAGTGTGATCAACGTGAAGATAAACAGGACTGATGTCGGCACCCACAAAGCAAAGATGATGCAGATTATGTGGCCTGATGTCTGGTTTAAAAAAAACATGACCTAGAGCAGGGGTGCCCACAGGACCGGATTTACCCTCCCTGACGCCCCAAGGCCGGGTTCGGCAATGCCCCCCCCGGAAAAGAGAGATTGCCAGTTTTTTTTTGTTTCTTTCTTTTTACTTTATCACTTTTTAATTTTTTTTACTTTTTACATTTTTATTTATCTTGTCATCTTTTACTTTTTTTTTTATAATTTTTTAATCTTATTTTTTATTTATAATTGTTTTCTTTTTTTATATTTTTCTTACTATTTTTTACTTTATATATTACTTTACTTTTTTATGTAATTATTATTATTACTTATTATTTTTTACTTATTTTTATTTATCTAATTTATCTAATTTTTTTATCAATTTATTTTCACCTAACTTTATTGCTATCACACAGGAGATAACAAGTCACTGTGTGATAGCATTTGGAGGTGACAGGTTCTCTTTATTGTACCTGTCACCTCCAATACAGGAGGTGTTGTACAGTACTGTGCTGGAACTCCTGTGACAGGTGAGAGGGGAAGAGCACAGCACAGCTCACCCCTCTCACTGTCTACAAGGAGCGGCAGGGTTACTTTTAACCCTGCCGCTCTGCTCACCGCTCTCCATCCTGAAGACGGCTGCGGCGAGGACGGAGCCGGGAGGACGCAGCATGGAGAGAGGTAAGTGCAGGGGAGCGAGGGGGACGGCGCGGGGAGGACAGACCGGCAGTCTAATTACAAGTTATTGTAAAGAAACAAGTAATTTCTCCTATTCTACATTTAGCCCTGCTTGTGCAAAGTAGAGCTAAATGTAGAAAAAAACCCTCTCTCTTGGCCGTCTCTTCTCTCTCCCCTGTTTCTATCTGCTATCTCTATCTGCCGACGTTGCACACAGGGAGAGGTGTCCCGCCCCTTCCCGTCTGCGACGTCTGACACATTCAAAAATGTAGAAATGTCACCAGCACACCAATCCTTTTAAGATAGCAAAAGCTTCATTTATTGAAGTTTTTTGTCATATGACCAAACAAGCGCTTTCGGGACCGCGCAGGGTCCCTTCATTAGGCTTTAGCATGATGAAGCTTTTGCTATCTTAAAAGGATTGGTGTGCTGGTGACATTTCTACATTTTTGCTGAAATTCGCGGCGCCATCCGTGGTCACTGCGAGCACCCCCCCACTACAAGGGACATATCGGTAAGGAGTGCGACAAGGATAGTACTTATTGTCTGACACATTCAGCCGCACTAGCACCGCGGGAGGGAGCTCAGGTCAGTGAGCTGATCGCGATCTACCAGTGTTTGCTTTGCGATCTACCTAATGGGCACCCCTGACCTAGAGGGTAATTGACAAATCTTCCTTTCAACGTACAGATGGGCGAATGCAGGTCATATGGAACTACCACCAATAGATGGCGCTCAGGAGCATAGGAATCTCCTATGCTCCTCGGCTCCATCTAGTGGCGAAAGAGTTACAAATCACTTCGAAGGAACCACTTGGTTCTGAAACGTCGCTACTAACGTGACACTATTTTAGTCAATAAAGGGATTGACTTTGCATGAGATTGGCGTGCCAGTGACTATCTATTGATTTTACAGAGTTACAAATCAGCCCCCTAAAGTACCATGGGAGCTCTTGGTCATGGTGGACAAGGTGTATTAGCAGGGGCTCTGCTGCTCGTTTTCTATACAGCCGCCCAGATCACTTGTAGCTAGGGCTGCAACAACTAATCGACATAATCGATTATAATCGATTATTGAAAAAGTTGTCAACTTTTTCAATAATCGATTAATCGGCTTCCGATCAGTTGGCCTGGAGGGTCTGGTACATGAATAGGGGAAGGTGACTGCACAGTCACCTCATGCTCGTCACTGCCAGACCTGCCCGCATCCACGCTCTTCACACCGCACCTCCTCCCCGCCTCACATTCACTGCCCGCCCACATCCACGATCGGCACAGGGACGCGGGGAGATGTAGTAAGGAGGAGCAGGTGTGGGGGGATGACAGCCACCAATATGAGAAGGCTATCACCGAGCTGGTGGCTCAGGCAGCTGTAGATAAGGCGTTCTAGGAGTTTGGAGGTGAAGGGCAGTAAGGTGATTGGTCTGAGAATGTTGAGGTTGGTAGGGTCCATTGATGGTTTTTTGGGTATTGAGGTGACCAGGGCATGTTTAGTGGGGAGGCAAAGATGCCAGTAGAAAGTGAGAGATTGAAAATGTGAGTAAGAGAGTGTAGGAGAGTAGGGCGGTGACCGAAGTAGCAGTGAGGGAACGGGATCCAGGGGGCAAGTGGTAAGGGGGGTGTCAGAGAGAAGTTCTGTGATGACAGGGTCAAAAGAGGAAAGTAACAAGTGTGATGGAGGGTCTGGTACATGAATAGGGGAAGGTGACTGCACAGTGGCGATCTGATCCCGAATTGTATATGAATGGCAATGTCCTGGGCAGTGAATGAGTTAGTGGGTGGTGGCGGTGGGGGACATAGTAGAGAGTTAAAAGTAGAAAAGTGTTGACGAGGTCTGGATGAGAGTGTGTTAATGAGAGTGACAAAATAAGTCTGTTTGGCAGCACGGAGGAAGGAATTATATTTTAGGAGGGCAGCTATGTATGTATAGGGTGAAGTCTTGCAGAAGCCGAGTTTTCCACCACATTACCCTCCCCACAGGGTGACAATGCTGCTGTCCAAGGGTGGTTCTATTGCTTCTCCATTGAACGGAGCCACCCTGAGACAGGAAGTGTGTTACTGGCCTGATCACTAGGTGAATATAAAGGGAAAAGCATAAAAAAAACAAAAAAACAAATGCAACCGCCACATATAAGGAGTGGTAAGCTGAAATACATCACAGCTTTGTTTTTGTGTTATAATAAGCTTCAAGGACTATGTGTAGGGATCCTGTACAGTCTCATGTCTTGACCAATGTCTTCTTCTTCACACACCTTACTGCACTCACCTGCATGTTGTGGTCGTGTCCGCTCAGAAAAGCCGTCACTCTGTATTTCTTAAGCAGCGGCTCCACATGCTCCAGAAGGCAGGAGGTGGGGCCGTGCTCGGCGATGGACCACACCGGGTAATGCCCCGCCACCAGCAAGTACTCTTCCTTGGCAGTCCTTAGTTTCTCCGTTAGCCAAACTAGTTGTTCATCGGCCATCTTTGGGTTGGCGGCACCTAACGGTTGCTCTCTGTGGAAGTCGTCGGAGTTGCCGCACAAAACTATGGTGTCCAGCAGAATGAGACGCACCGACGCGTTGGTGGCTGGAATCTTGAAGGACAGGTCGTAGTACAAGGCTGGGAATCTCCTGAATGGAGAGCAGAAAAACAAAAAAAACAAAAACACTCAATCTCTTTATTTTAAGGGTGTGGGGGGGGGGGGGGTGACTGAAGGAGTGAAGAGGGTCAATAAATGAATGCATCTTCTGCACAATGGGTGTTGGCGAGTCCTTCATAGAACACTTGGTGCTCTCTTTTCAGCACTAGGAGCAATGAGGTCACCAGCACACTAAAGTCCAAATGAGTAAACCGTCCATTACTATTGTTAGATCAACATGGTATCACAAGAAGTCACAACGTTTTGCAACCCCATGCGGTCCCTTCATCAGGCAAAACAATGTGATGATTGACAATATGAGCCTGTGATACCAGACTTCACCACCAGATAGCGCTGCACACACTCTAAATCTACATCTGTTCATCCTTGTACAAGAAAGAAGGTCCGGATAGAGGGACTCATTGTTACTACACGGGGGCTCAGAAGGACAACTGTAAGAAGATAAACCCGTACCCAAGTCTACAATCACCCCGTCCTTACATCTCTACCATACGCCAGCCCTCCACCTAAAGAAGTGGGCCTTACCATCGGGAAGATACATTGGAGTAGGCCATCTGAGCCGTGATGTTCCCGTTGTGGTCGTGGTTTCCAGCGATAACATACCAGGGGACGTGGCTTAGGGACTCGGCATCAAACACCGACTCAAATGTTGTCTGTAAAACAGAACATGGAAGGGCGTCAAGAACCACACTGGACAAAACAGTACAATGGCTTGGTACGGAACCCACTTACACCGCGGCAGAAGTCAAATACGGAGCCGCGGATGGTTGTGGATCACGCGGCACCTTCTGCTGACACATTACTAAGACACGTCTGTCAGGGAAAGGACAATACTGGATTCTGGAGAAAAAGTGTTTTCATTCTGTCCACATGCACAAGATACGTACACATGGGCAGTCTCACTCTCAATGATACCAGATCTACAAGAAAGTGACAAGATGAGGGAGGAAGATCCATCGGTTGTATATGGAAGTAGGAAGATCCATCAGTTGTATGTGGAAGGAGGAGGAAGATCCATCGGTTGTATATGGAAGTAGGAAGATCCATCAGTTGTATGTGGAAGGAGGAGGAAGATCCATCGGTTGTATATGGAAGTAGGAAGATCCATCGGTTGTATGTGGAAGGAGGAGGAAGATCCATCGGTTGTATATGGAAGGAGGAGGAAGATCCATCGGTTGTATGTGGAAGGAGGAGGGAGATCCATCGGTTGTATGTGGAAGGAGGAGGGAGATCCATCAGTTGTATGTGGAAGGAGGAGGAAGATCCATCGGTTGTATGTGGAAGGAGGAGGAAGAGTTGACCAGCCGATTAGGAATGATTTATTTAACAGGGGCAGCCAAACCTCAGCACTCCAGCTGTAGTGAAAGTACCAATCCCGTCATGCCTTTGCCTCTGAGAATCATGCCTGTGGCTGTCAGTTTTGCAATGCCTCATGGGACTTGTAGTGCCCACGTTGCCTACCCCTTGACTATATCTTATCTTTTCTTCCTGTTCAAAGTAGGTTAGGCACGGCCTTATATTAGGGGCAGGCAACCGCACTCCAGCTGTGGTGAAACTACAAATCCCATCATGCATCTGTCTCTGGGAGTCCTGTTTGTGGCTGTCAGAGTTTTGCAATGCCTCATGGGACTTGTAGTTCCCCCCACAGCTGGAGGGTTGAAGTTTGGTCTTTATAGGAAACTGGAAATTGCAATGCTATAAAAGAAGGAAGAAGTAGAACAAATGGAATTTGCTCATAGAAGCCAACCATGGGGACGTGTTTGGATTTGTGCGGTTTAAAAGGCTAAAACAAAAACCTGCCATTGGCTGGTCGGGCCACACAGTTTTCATCAATGTCCTCAACGTAACAAGACAACCCCCCAACCAGGAGCATCCTGAGGCCAGGTGTCACCCGGAGTGGGTACCGGCAGACACCCCGCCATCCCGCACGTTCGCGATGATGTCACACGCATGAGCGGTCATCTTGGTGATACCTGCCGGCGGCCATCTTGGTGATGGACACTGGCAGAGAGAGGAGGGAATGTTCATCTCCTCTCTCGTGCACTAGTCGGGCTCTCGGTCCATGACCGAGTGCCCAACTTTTCAGAGGGGGTGACACCCAAATGACTGTCAGTCATTTGGGTGTCACCCGGGTACGGGCCGCACCCCTCTAGTGACACCCCTGCCCCCAACCTCTCACATCTTCTCACCTTAAACCTGAAGTCTGCGACATCGGTCACTCCCTCATAATAGAAGTTGTCTCCAACGGACAGGATGAAGTCGGCTCCCCATTTGGCTACGGTTTTGCCCAGCTCGTCTGCCACCAATGTCTCCTGCTTGGTGAAGTATGGAGGGAGGGGTATACCCCCCCAGTCACCGATCACTGCAAAGCTTAGAGAGGGCTCCGAGTCTGCCGGAGGGTAGGAGAGGGACTTTAGGGCCACATACGGGAGGACGGCCAACAGCAACACAAACTTCTCCATGGTGAACCTGGGAGAGAAAGAGATTGCGATGTTATGTAGGAAAGGCGGCACATTCCAAACACTGGAACCTTCCAGACTGACAGGTGGCAGCTCTCTGTGTGATAGTAAATGGGTGACCTCCAATGACGCCTAGTGTCACTGAGCCAACTACTTGTGTGCCCAGGACGTCATGGACACACCCCCTGGGCACGCCTCATTCAGGCTCACAGGAGAACGTTGCACAGCATGGCGCTCACATGTTAGTGGCATGTTTCATGTCACTTCCATTCATAACATTTTCCATCCCGCCCCTTCGATTTTTTTTTTCATCGCTGTGGTTGAAATTGATCGACGATTTGACCCGATCAGCCATCAGAAAATGGAAGAATTTCCCCCCCCCAATTTTTTTCTCAAATGAAGTACTGCCAGCGTGTGGACAACGTTAGAGCCAAACGAGGGAAACACGGTAAGGCTCCATTCGCACATAGCGGTACCGCTTTCCGCACGGCAAAAAAACGCAGAAACGTTAACATATGCGCAGATTTTGCGTGTTTGTAGCCATTACTATAGCCAGAACGTGCGGAATCCGCCCATAAAATTGCACTTGGGACTATTTTGCGGTTTCTTACCGTGTAGACGCCGCGATAGTCTGAACAATGCACATTGCAATGCTTTGTTTTTGATGTTTAGCGTGTACCGTTCATGTGTGAATGGAGACTTGATCGTAAACTCTCCCGGACTGCCCCTCATTTCACAAATAGAGCCTCAGAATTTTTTCCCTTCAGTCCCCATTCACGCCATTGCATTCCATGAGTGGACGCTAGGCGTGTGCATTGACGTACGGAACGTGCAACGAGCTTGGGGTGCCGTTACTTGTTAATGGCACCCCAAACGCATGCAAGAAAATTAGCGTCCCCCCACACACACACAAACACGTGGTGAGAAAATGTGGTACGTGAGCTACTTTCCTGCGTTTGAAATCAATGGGCGATGTGTGGCAATGTGGGTGAAAATGCACATGAACATGACGCACGTTTATGGAAAACAAAAAGGTGTAAATGGGCACTAAAGGCCTTTTTACAGCTCAGCCCCCTTTTTATTTTTTTTTTTAGAACTTTATTGAAATATCAAGTGGCATTTTGGCTCAGTGTAGTGTGATGCAGTGCGCTGAAAAAAAAAAAAAAAAAAGAAGTACTGCATGTCATACTCCATACACCACAACGGTATGACCTGCGACTACCCGCGACAAGACAAATTGCCTTGTCTTGCATTTGCGGTGTGCTGGAAAACAAAAAAAACATCCAGCGCAGCCCAGACGCCTATGGTGTGAATGAGCCCTAAATTCCAGATTCATGGCGGGATCACCAAAGGCCCATATTTTACAGATATTCCCCCAATAGGGCCCCGTGGGGTTCTCAGCATAGCCATTTAGGGAATAAATAAATGAACCCCAACACCCCTAGGCTAGCTCATGTATGGCTGACGCAGGGCTCTAGCAGACTCCGTGCCGATACAATATACCACCATTGCCCGATATTCAGCATTGGAAACGTTACCTGATCCGATTATTCTACCAGGTCCAAGTTTTCTCCTGAGTATTGCCCCCAGACAATGTGGTGCGACCTTCCTCTGGAAGCGCTGTGTCAGACTATGACGCCGCAAGAATGTTTGTTGCCTGAATAGAGGTCACATGACTCGGAGTCACATGAGTCTTTGCTCAGCTTTACAAACAATGGAACGTGATTCCTCGCATACCTGCGTCCGCGTAATTCTACCTGACCAGGTGTGTTGTTTTTGCAGAGCGGACTATGAACCTCAGATTGCGGCAGAGGGGTTATTACAGCTTTATTTTTACTTTTGTGTGTGTATTACGGCGCAGGGGAGCAAATCTCAACCGGTCAGCATGTTCGGATTTAGTTCTATCCGTGGAGAACGTTTGGAGTTTATGGCTGAACTCCGGGCACAAACAACTTGCATGTACATACATTCCTCGATAGCCACCACGGATAGAAGTGTGCTAGGCCTGCGGCGAACGATTATTTTCATAATCGATTAGTTGCCCGATTAATCGATTGGCTACATAAAAAAAAATCTCTCTCTACTAATCGATATTGAGAACAGTTGCCAACTATTCTCATAATCGATTATTATTGGATTTCATTGATTAGTTGTTGCAGCCCTAAAGTCCGCTTTGTGTGCCTTTGCAAACCTGGATATTACCTTGTGACACTATCAGTGTGCCCCAAGAATTTTCACATTTTCGGACGGGACCGCGCGGCGAAGACACAGGTAAGTTTTAACCCTTTTCAAAGCTTTTTTTTTTTTTTACACTTTTTGCATACATCTACTGCATGCTAGCCGTAATATATGTATATACAAAAACACTGCAGGGTTTAATAACCCTTTAAAAGGAGAATTATGAGGTGAGTGATTTTCACTCAGCCTCATAATCTGAGCCGACCTGTGACCATGAGACTGTCACAGGTCAGCTCAGTAGATCGGGAGGTGAGGGAACACATATGAGCGCTCGCTCACTTCTCGATCTATCCCTGCAGAGAGCCGTGAGTGACTGTCCCCCCCTCCCTGTCCGATCCTCCGGTGCTGAGTGGAGAAACGGACGGGGGCGGGTACAGCTGGCTCTGCCTCTAGATAGGCAGAGCCAGCTGTCACTCACGCAGCTGGGCGGATCCAGACAGAATTGTCGGGATCCGTCCCGGCTGCGGCGTCTCAGTATACAGCTCACGGTATACTGAGCTTTGGGTAACGGGAAGACGCTAGTTTGTGTCCTCCCATTACCCTTAGGAGAACTATGGGGAAAAACACTTACAACATAGTTTTCCTTTAACATTACATAAAAGGGGAAGCTGAGGAAGTTTTTTTGGCAAGTAAAAAGCACCTGAAAATGTAAGCGGAACTCTTTAATGGCGCGATCGAACTGTGGGTGGGAGGTGCGTTTGGGGTGCCATTGAAAGGGCAGCTGTCTCACTGTTGACATCCTACATTCCAAGTCCACATAGACATCTATAGGGCTGTAATGTGCAGGTGTGGCCAGCAGAGGGAGCACTGCGGCGCTGGATGTTAACAATAGGGCAGGGGTGGGCAAATGCAGCCCTCCAGCTGTTGTGGAGGCATTGTAAACCTGGCAGTTAGAGGCATGACAGGATTTGTAGTCAAAGCACAGCTGAGGGATGGTGGGAATTCGAAGTTGCCCACCCCTGCAAAAGGGGAACTATGGCCGTCAGATCTGGGTAAGTACGGATCTGCAGTACGGTACAGACAGGGTTAACCATGATAAACGTCAACTCCCCAGCCCCTCCTTCACATTACATAAAAGGGGAAGCTGAGGAGGGTTTTTTGGCAAGTAAAAAGCACCTGAAAATGTAAGCGGAACTCTTTATGGTCTACCTCTTGGTGGTGTGTGTGTGTGTGTGTGTGGTTAAGGTGCCCATACACCTTACCATTATCGGACAATAATTGTATGCGATCGACTTTTCGTCCGATAATCGTATATGTGCATTGCAGTGTCCGACCGACAATACTGTACAATTGTACGACTTTTGACGGTCAAGCATGTTTGAAAACTTTGCTAGATCGTACGATTGTCGTAAGGTTGCTGGCGTTTCCGTCCGTCAAAAGTCGTACGATGTACACTGCGCTTGCGCTAACGAAAATACGGCAAATCAATTACCGCCTTTTCGTCCAGGTGCTTTTGGTTAATTACGGCTAAATGATTCTTGCGATCATCGGGGCAGGATGGGGCTGCCGTACGAACATCGTACGACTATTCGATCATCGGACGAAAAGTTTCGTCCGATAATCGTAAGGTGTATGGGCACCTTTAGACTCCCTTTACAGTGCTGCAAGGGTTAACCACTCACTTTTGATATTCTGTAAAGGACTGTCACTTACCTGATCCCCGCTCCCCCGGGAGGTCACCTCTTTCCTCTACGCTTCTGGCCTATGATGCAAGGCTATGGAAACATTTGTCCTCAGTCATTAAGCCGTGACCAGAGTCACACTGCAATGGAACGCACGGCATTGCGGTACCACGCGTTCTAGCGCGGGCGATCGAACTGTGGGCGGTAGGTGCGTTTGGGGTGCCATTGAAATGACTGGCAATGCAACACATCTCCTGCACCAGAATGGCTGCTTGGCGTGAGAACTGACAGTGCTGCGCTAGGGGGAGGAGCCTCTCACCTGGAAAAGTGGAAGGTGCGCGGTGACCCACTGAACACGGGGCTGCAACCCACCAGTTGAGGACCTAGGCCCTAGATGTTAACCCTTGCAGGTTTAATTTCCCCCCCCCCACAATCATGTGACGTGCATGGGAACACGGAACAAATATGAAGGAGGCGCTACCCCAAAAGTTGAAAAAGCACTTTAAGCGTTGCAGCCACATTTTGGGCCACCAAGCATCCCACTGTGACATTCTGGGGCCCAAAATTTCCACCGCAGCGTCACTAGCAGGGCAGAGGCTGCACATTACTATGAGGCCAAAAGGTACAACTTCCCAGCCTGGGTCCGGGGCTATGGACTCACATTTCAGGAGGGGGGGGGGGGGGGGGAGGACTGTCAATTTTTTGTGTGTATGTGGGGGGAGGGGAGAGCCATAGAAAGCCGCCCCATACAACTCACCCCACTGTCCCAGCATGGGAGTTGTCACTCCGCATTACAATACAAGCCAGGAGAGATCAAAACCGATATGCGTATTATCTCCATACCAGAGAATAGCGCAACGCCGTCCACTTCCTGTGTGTGCAACGCGAACGATACTTCCTCCTGTCACATCTAATACAATGTATCCCCTCCATCTTTACTGTAACCAATGTAGATCATTATTCTGAATAGAGAACACAGAATGGGTGGTGAGGGTATGTCCTCACATTGCACGGGTTTAGTTAATCCGGGGGAGATTGTATGATGATTGTACAATCAGATGTAAGGAGTATGGCCATTTTAGGAGATCAAACCAGTTTATATCCAATCAGATCAGGCCCTGTGCTATATAACGGATCAAATCTACGGATGTTCTGATTGGCACGTGTGACCAGCTTAAAGCGACAGCCAGAACTCCCTTTAAGAGCTGTGTTCCATCTCCAAACAGGTGCCGAATGTCCCTTTAAGGGCTTTTTCACAACAAGCGCGGAGCAGAGCAGTTACAAACCGGATCAAAACTGCGTCCAACGCATTCCAATGGTATTTTGGGCTCTAGTTCACATCGCAGTGTTCAGTTCCAGAGCATGCAAAAAGACTGCAGCAAGCCGTATTTTACCTGCTCTGGAACGCATGCAAACACATCAAAAACGCACTGAAAGGCCATTTTAAACAAAACATTTTAAAAAAAATAAAGTATACCAAAAACGGCCCGGAACGCATCACAAACGCGGTATAACACACTGCCATGCGTGTGCAGAAACTCATGCAGATCTGGTCTGCATTTGGTGTGAACAAGCCCTGAGAGCTTCCGGGACTGATTGAGGTGAGGCGTCTGTGGAGGGGGAGGGGAGGGTTAGCTCAGGGCAAAGGGGTCAGAGTATTTGGGTCTTAAAGGGCACTTATTGTCCAATGCCGAGCAATACAGGGACACCGACCTCACGAGGGAAACCCTAAAAATACATTCAAGAACCTGAACTATTAAGATTGAATGCCGGGGGGGGGTTTATT